TAAAAATATTATTTACATTATAAACTTAATTAATTAGTTAACTAATAAGTCTATAAATTAATTTTTATTAAAAAATTATTTTATTTTATTTTATTTTACTTTTTATTCAAAACTTGTTATTTCTGTATGAGAAATTATATTTTTTTTTAAATTCTTCATAGCGTCATTTCAAATCTAATACAATCATTTAAAATCTTATAAATTTTTAATTAAAATTTATATTACAAAATCTTCATTAAAAAAATCTTTTAAAAAAAATATTAAAAGTTATTATATTCTTCCAAATTTTTTAAAAGAATCTTAAAAGTTATTTAATTTTTTAAAAAAAAATTAAATTTCACAAAAAAAAATTATACTAAAAAAATATTATAAAATCATAATCCAAAACACCTCAATAATTTTCTATTTTTTTTAATCAAGTCCCCATAAATGAGGTATAGGCTCTTGTGAAATAGTATTACATACTTTCATCTTTATACATAAATCAAAATTTATCAAAAGCTACAAAATTAAAAAAATATATTAAACAGGGAAAATTATAAAAAGTTACGTTGTATAATTTTTTTAATAATTTTTGGTTAATAAAATCCTAGTGCCTTCAAGATAAGTAGTTATTAGTATTTTTCAAACACAATTTAAAAAACTTGTAAAAAAAATAATTTAAAAATGATACTATTAAATATTAATTATTTAATATTGAAAATTGAAATTTAAAAAAAAAAAAAAAAAAAAGGAGGCAAGACGATGATCGAAGCAACACTATCACCAATTCACCATAGCCATCCATAAACCTCTCTTTCTCTCTCTATCTCTCTCTGTTTCATTTCTCTGTTACAACTTACATCACAATTACACTCTCTCTCTCTCTCTCTCTCTCTCTCTCTCCAATGTAGGAGGCAACAAGAAACCGCCAATCGCCATGGCCAATACCACCCCAAACCAACGAACCTCCCTCTCTCTCTCCCTCCTCCTCCTCTCCCTCGCCCTCTTCCAAACCCTAACTCCCAATTCCCCCCCTCCCCCTGCCCCTCCCAACTACATCGTCGCCTTCCGCCACTACGCCGCCGCCGACCGCCACCGCGCCTACCTCCACTCCGCCCTCCGCCCCCAAGGCTGGCGCTGGATCCCTCGCCGCAACCCCGCCGCCGCCTTCCCCACCGACTTCGGCCTCGTCGCGATCGAGGACTCCGCCCTCGTTGACGAGATTCGGAAACTGAGTCTCGTCAAGTACGTGAGCTTGGACGTGAGCTACAAGAGGGGTTTGATGACGAAGGATCAGAGGCGCAGGAAAGTTGGCGCCTTCGAGGACGGCAAGAAGAGGCGCCCCGGGAAGATCTTCACCGCGATGTCGTTTTGTGAGGCTGAAGACGATGAGGAGGATAAAGATGTTGGCAATCGCAGCACCTCTGTCAAGTGGGGACGGGAATTGTTGATGCAGGTGAGGAGTTTTGGTTTTCTAGTGTTGGGTATCTCGGGGAAGTGAGAAAGAAAGATTTGGTGCCTTTGGTTATGGTTATTGGTATTGTTTTGTCTGTGTTGAGTTAGTGCCTGTTTGTTTGGATTCACGTTGGATCATCCATAAATTACACGTTGAAACTTGTTCAAGACATGATTGGGTGCACCTATCATGATTTCTTATCCGTTGCAAACTTGCACTAACCTTTAGAACCGAGAAGTCAAGTCTTCCTTAGGTTTTCAACGCGACAAACCTAGAGAGCAATTGTATTTCATGACCGCAAAGGAGACTTAGCTGCACTGTTAATTAACCTAGGCACCACTCATTATTGAGCTAAAGGTTTGGCTTACACCACTTTACACAGATCAAAATTAGGTGTCTAGAGTCTTAGCATTTGATCACATTTAGTCAACATGATTTTAGGTAGATATTCACATGTTTGGTCTTGTATTGGGTAGCTGAATTTGAATCTGGGTGTATAATTGATTCAGTTGAAACAACTGTAAATAGATTTTACGTAAAGATCATAAAATCTTATATCGAGTTTTGCTATTACTAACTTGCTTTTAAAATGGAAACGTTCAAAGTTTCAGATATAAAAATCACTCTACTTCAAATCAATTTTGCAAAATTAATTTCATTCAAAATCAATTTTATGGACATTCATCCAAATATACACTTAAATTGGTATATTTGAATTTTTTGATGGTTGAAAGTGTGCATCTGCGTGTTTTGAGGTGTTTCTGGTTGTGGCAGAGATCACAAGTTACTTCAATGTTTGGGGCTGAGGATCTTTGGGCAAAAGGGTACACTGGTGCTAAGGTCAAGATGGCCATATTTGATACTGGCATTCGAGCTGATCATCCTCATTTCCGTAACATCAAGGTAATGATTGATTTGAAATGGTTGGTTTTGGTTGATGGTGGATGAGTTGAATGATGAGGAGCTTTACAGGAGCGTACTAATTGGACCAATGAAGATACGTTGAATGATAATCTTGGACATGGGACTTTTGTTGCGGGCGTCATTGCTGGGGTAGATTCTGAGTGCCTTGGTTTTGCACCAGATACAGAGATTTATGCATTTCGTGTATTCACTGATGCACAGGTAATGCCTGTTGGGTTCTATTGCTGAACTCTTTTCTTTCTTTGGAAAGGGAAGGGGGTTGAGTTAAATTCTTTTAACTGCACGGAAATGGCATTTCAGTTGAGCCAGACTCCAAAATATCTTGATTTCACAGATATGTCCAATAAATGCATGATGTTATGATCATCAGAAGTTTATTAACCAAGTAGAGTAATTGTTAGCAAGCTCTAAATGGGAGAACCTAAATGCATCTTGACTAGGTTATAAATGCATTTTTTTCTTCTAGTTTTTCTGCCAATAATATTTTTAATTTTATTCTAGAATAATTGGCAAGATTTTGAGAAGATTTCATTCAGCCTATTGCAGGTGTCATATACATCATGGTTCCTTGATGCCTTCAATTATGCAATTGCAACCGATATGGATGTGCTAAATTTAAGCATAGGTGGACCTGATTACTTGGATCTACCATTTGTTGAAAAGGTAGATTTCTTGTGCCTATCTGTTCAAGCTCACTAATTCAATAGTATGAAGTATTATATTTTATTTATTTTGAGGTGGAAAATTACAATGTGTATTATTTATGAAGATGAAGATATGGTGGTATTATTTCTTGAATAATAACAATATGGCATGGTATTTTCTCAACTGTAACCATTATATTTTAGGAAGCCGTTTTGTTTTTGGTGTTCATTTACAGTATTTTTATGCATCAAGTACTGAAATGTCTTTTTATAGAGCTTTATGATGCTAATTTGTTGAACA